TCAAGGAAACAACTACGTCTGTCACTGGCAAAACAATCACAACGACTCTAATCACACCTAATCCAATGCCTCATACTTTGAGGCCAATAACTCCAATTCACGTGAACGATGCAAAAACAAATCCCTCATAAATGCACAACTCAACAACATACACATAACACTTCCATCACCTCACACACTGCCTCCAATGATGGATGATCCCGCGGTCCAATGCGAAGCCTCACCACATGTCTTGATCATCCCGGCGTCTGGCAAGAAAGCGAAGAGCACTCAACAATGCAGATCGCCTGCGTTGACATTTTTCGCAGCGAAGCCGCAGTCAAATCTGTTGTATAAGCAATTCCACTTTAATGTTAACGTCAAGCATAAAACCCAGAGATTCTCGCATCTGCCATAAAAAGTACATTAACACTGCACACGGCTTTACCACACCCAAGACACATTCTCATAAGCTCAATTCAATAACAAACATCAGTACCACTGCATTTTACTTTGCGCTACATTCGTACCATCCTTTCAAAAACCCCTTAGGACAACTGGCCTACACTCAAGGATGCAGCACTTTAGTTAGGGCAAGGAAAACCACCAAACACTTACTCCACTCTCTGCCTAAACATCCGTAAGACCTAATTACAGCCACTGTGAAGCACCTGTCGCCATCTACCACAACACCAACCTTACCCAAGACAGCACCACTAAATGACAAAAAAACGACAAAACAAAACCACCATAGCAGCATTTTCTTAAAAAAAGTACCAAAGTAGAAAGCCAATAGAGCACTATTTACACACAATATCACTCTTACCAGGGCTTCAAATGTGCACGGACCGCACACCAATCTCTGACTCGAGAGCAGGTTCTGGGCCTCTGGTAGCAGTGGGGCGTAGACGAGGAGATCACAGCTAAGTAGTCTAGCACCCTTTAAAATAATATGTACATTCAATTTTACACGGTAAAGTCAATTGTTAAACACTAGGATTCACGGATTCTGTAGGGACTGTGGAAATTGCACGAAGGCGAGTAATAATCTACATCATAAGCAAGTGCCAGTAAGGAAGACGGATCTATTTCCTTAGGGTCAGGAGGAAACACATGTAAGCTCTCAAGACTATCATAGTCATCCTCCTCATCCCATGCGCTGACACACGTACGCCGATCCTCCCACTCACATTTCCACTCATTCCGAAGCTCCTTTCGCAACAAACGCCATTTTTTCAACGATTGACACAATAAATGGCGGTTAAGCAACTTGCCTGGAGAATTCTTCTCGAGATGAACCAACTTTCTTCTGCCGGTACGCACCAAACGACGCAGCAACTTCCTCTCCGACATCACGACACCTCTCACAATTCACACCGAAACTGAAATGTACAACCTGACCGTTCAAACAATGCTCGCTTCAGTCCCATTTTCGCCTATCACTTTAAACACGCAAGACCACATTTCCATTGTATGTGCACACTTATACAGCTAATGCTTTGTGTTGCTGACCCTCATGCTTCATAAGGCATTATTTTCTTTCTCTAGTTTACTGCTTGGACTGTACATGAACACACTTTGATAGTTGGGGTGCTGACGAGCGACATCTTCGGGCTTGCTTCTTTTTTCGCAATTCACAGATATTATTTTGATGTACATTGATGTAATCTGCTGCCACAATGTGTACAGTTCGGAGGTTTGACATTGCAAACCCAGTAGTCGGAAACGAAAATTGTGTCTTCAAAACACTGCATCATTCTGAAGGCTCTCGTAATGCGGCTCATTCTGCTCATTACACTACCGGTTAACCTAGTTTACTGACTCACTTTGAACAACCGTACTTAGATTATGACTCTTGCACATTTGGTCCAGTTCTCCTGTCACGTGTTCTCAATTGACTGAAGCGAAGTTCACTTTCGATGACATGTTCACGCTAAACTGATCTGCTGTATTATGCCACAATGATATCGGCTCTCATTAAAGCAGACGGAACCTCTGCGACACTACGGACTTGACATTATATTAAGTTCCTCAGATCTATGTCATTGGTGTCGAATAGTTC